TGGTCTCAGGAGTGTAGTGACGTATCCATGTTTCATTTACAGTGATGAAACGACGCTTAAAGTCTTGCAGATTTTGCTGGAACAGCTGCAAACCATTCTTGCAACACTTCACACGATCTCGTTTTTGGTCAATCGTGAGCAATCGCGGCACCCATCTAGCGGATAGTTTTTTCATGTCCAAATGTTGGTGCAAAATATTATGTACCCGTTCGCCCGAGATACCTACAGTACTAGCAATCTCACGCACCTTCACTCTTCTGTCAGCGATCACCATATCATGGATTTTATCAATGATTTCTGAAGTGGTAACCTCAACACAGGGCGTCCAGAACGTTCAGCGTCTTTTGTGCTCATATGGCCACTCCGAAAATTTTGAAACCACTTGTGGTCGGTACCGTCATCAGGAGCCAATCAAGAGTGAAAGTGGTAGCAGTGAGAGAGGAAGAAGAGAGCCGATATGTCGCGTCAATCGAATGAACAAGCGCGAGCGACCCGCGACCATTCGCTCGCGAGAGCGAAACCGCCGACGTTGCTCTCTCTATCTCTCTCTCTCTCTCTAACCTATCGTTCGCAAGTGCGCGACACAACGGTAAAGTATTTACGATTATCTGCGAATACGGCGTTTGCGGCGAACCTCTTTTTGATTCCTCTCGGAATTATCTTGTAACGTGCGCCCGTACGTTTATCTGCACGAGTGAAGGCAGGTGGGTGTAGAATGCGACGAGTCAATTCGCATCGCTCCATTGTACGTAGTGGTGAAGCTAAATAAATTGTAGTTCGAGGTTATCCGAGAGTCATTCTGGTATGCACCCGCCATTTTCCTTCCCCTCGAGCATTTATCCAGCCAATCAGCTTCGTGGCGAGGCCTACTGTCGCCATTTCAGTGGAGTCAACGCGTTTCCCATACCTTCTTCGGTTCTAATAAATAGTGACACGATGCCTGCGTACTGGAACATTGCACGGCTAGCAGAAGTAATTTAGCGTAATAAACGCCATGTTCGCATCTATCGCGCTACATATTTTACTTTTCTTTGCACTAAACACGCTTTGTGGCTTAGCATTCTCTTAATCTATCTTTTGATAAATTTAGGTATAATTCAATCAAACATGGAATTGTCTATGGTATTTCTAAAAAAATTACTTAAATCTTCTTCTATATCCATAAAAGCTCCTATAATAGTTATTTTTTTATTCCATTTTTTTTTAATGTAACTAATCATTGACTAAAAGGCGGTCTCTATGTATTTTCCTATGAAGTATGTACGTTGACTATGATAAAATGGTCGACATAGCAGCATTTCTTGCCAACATAGATATCATTTTCCACCGTTTTCAGCATAAAGAAAGTCATGTTAATCGGTCTGAAAGTTTTCACGGTCGAGTAGTCTTCCTTCCGATTTTCGGTATAAATGGCACTCATATTTTCGTGCAGTTTTTTACGTATATTCTCTGGCAATATATCATCTGAATATGCCGTAATCAGTTTCAGGATGTTTTTATATCTTTTCTGTAGCATCTTGGGCAAGATGTCATGAGGACACAATGTTTTAGAGAAAGATATAAATGCAAGGAATTTGAAGAATAATGAAATATGATGTAAGGTAAACTATATTCTTACGGATAGAATTAATTGAATAAAAAATGTTATGCTTAAATTCAATGAAATTATGCACAATTATATAAGCAACAATAACAGAAAAGTATATATTGGACATCAATGTTATAAAGCACACTGTGATGTTAATATCACCTATTATTTATTATTATGTTCATACTCTTGTAGTCTGTAGCGTTAATGAGTAAGAATTCGTTTAACGTTAAAAATATATATGAATATTGAATTTGAAGTAAAATTGTAAATGAAATATCTATAATTGTTAGGATATATAAGAAAAGATAGACTTTACCCTAGTTTCTTATGGTGCGAATTGTCCCTTTTGCAGAGCTTAACTCTCTCTTGAAAAAAGGATGTAATTCAGCCTAAGTTTCTCATACCACGAAATGTTCTAAGCGAAATGTTGAAAGGGAAAGAATTGCTTAGTTAACCACTAGAGAGACATAACTTAAGTATAAGCAAAGTTTATCCAATCTCGAGAGCTCACTTTGCAAGGCTAAGAGAGAATCCTAGCCTATGCAAAAGTGAGCGTATTTATACACAGATTTTCCCGCCTATTTTAGCAGGACAGCACTCTTCAAGCTGTTTACGCAAGTGTGCAAAATTATTTTCTCTTGTTTACAATAAAATAGACAGCACTAACGAAATTCTAAATCATGTAAAATTTACAGAAGTTGATATGGATCATTTAAGTATAATTTACACTTATCGCTAAAAGTAGAGTTAAAAGTTATTAATTAATTAATGAAGTTAGTTAATACAATAGCGCAAAATTTATAATAAAATAAGAAGAAAATTTAACATATAGCAATAGTTTATCGCTTGTAGAAGTAATTTCAAAAAAGAACTACTTAAATTAGTTAATAACATTTGAATAATAATCAATTTTCGTATTTTTGCAAAATCTTATAATGTAAATATTAAATCGATTAATTAAGATTAATAAATAATAACAAGTTGTTATTATGTACAAAATTAACGCTTTCAGTTCATATACAATTATTTGCTTAAATAAATTATTAATTGTTTATCTACTGATAACAGTAATAACTAAGCTGTTATCAATGAAACCAATTCTTACTCATATTTCTCAGATCGTCATCTTGAGTTCATAGTATCTGCTTTATTGTAATAATTAACATTTATTATGATAATTAAAATAATAATAATTAATTTTATTATAATAATTAACAAACTCATAAAGAAATTAAGTTTGCACATTAAAATTTAATAAGATTTAGTAGTTAAAAGTGATTAAAAATATTATAATCTCAATCTATGCCCTAAAATTTATATAAAAATTACTTTGTATCATTCAAATTATTCTTAATAACGCATTATAAATAAACAATAAAAATTATCATATCTATATCTATAAGTAGAGTGACGTCACGCTCCTTATATGGTCAAGAAATTTGACTCTAGTACTAATACAATCTAATAATATGTAGGGTAGCGCCATTTAATACGAGGTCTGTCCGGAAAGTATCGGGCCTACCTTTATATTTTCGTGCTAGCGTTATTCTTTATCATCTGGTGTGTGGCATCAAAGTAATCCCCACTTGATCGAATAACACGGTTGCATCGATGTTTCCACTTTTCAAAACAGTCCTGGAACTCACTTTTAGGGGTAGCCTTAAGTACACTCGTCGCATTGTTTTCAACCGTTGTTTTGTCATCCAATCGGTGTCCTTTAAATGGTTTTTTTTAGTTTTGGAAACAGACAAAAGTCACAAAGGGTGGCTATGTCCGGACTGTATGGAGGTTGTCGAAGCAATGCGATATTGTGTTTGCTCAAAAACTGCTGCACAAGATTGGATGAATGCGCTGGCGCATTATCGTGATGGAGAAGCCAGTCACTACTTTCCCAAAACTGCGGCCGTATTCTTCTTACTGTATCACGCAAACGTTTCAAAATTTGAACGTAGTATTTTTTATTGATTGTCTGACCTGTTGGTGCATATTCGTGATGTACAACACCTTCACAATCGAAATAAAACAATCAGCATTGACTTAACATTGCTCCGACATTGACGTACTTTTTGTGGTCTTGGCGATTCAGAATGCTTCCACTGTGAAGATTGTTGTTTTGTTTCAGGATCATAACCATAAACCCATGATTCATCACCTGTAATAACTTTGCTAAGTACATTATCATCGTTATTGACCATTTCAAGATTGTCCAAAGCGATTTCTAAGCGAATGTTCTTCTGCTCTGCTGTGAGCAATTTTGGGATGAATTTGACACACACGCGTTTCATTCCTAAATTTTCAGTTGAAATTTCTGAAATGATAGTTTTTGCTATCCCAAGGTCTTCTTCTAGTTCTCGCACAGTCATACGACGATCTTGTTCGATTGCAAGTCGCACCCGCTCAATATTATCTGCGGTTTTTGTCGTCGAAGGTCGGCCGGAACGAGAATCACTATCGACAGAAGTGCGACCATCCTTGAACCGTATATACCACTCTTATATTCATGTTTTGCTCATACACTCGCTTCCGAAGGCCTTTTGCATCATTTCAGTAGTTTCCGAACTCGTTTTTTCGAGTTGAAAGCAAAATTTGATACAAATTCGTTGATCTTGTTTTTCAGTCATTTTTGACAATATCAAAATCCGACGAACGAGAAAAAGGCTCTGTAAACAAAGACACGCTGCGCATGAACTATACGTCCGGCAGGTGTCAGTAAGTAACCGATAGATTCGTGAGGCTTTACTGTTGACGTTTCTGTCCGGTAGAGGTTGCTCGAACACTATAGCGCGAAGATATAAACGTAGGCCCTATACTTTCCGGACAGACCTCGTATACTAATTGATATATGTAGATTCATGAGTTTAGTGGGTTGCAATAATCCAGTGAAAATAAGAGAAGAGCTCATAGGTAGGACCGTTACAACACGATGATCGAAACGTTACACCATAATATAATTGAGGCAGAATTGGGCATAACGAGAAAAAATGTTTTAACAATAAATTCTATCTAAGATATAAATGTATCATTCAAATAGAGAGTACAATAAACAACAATTAATAACATGTACCAACTAACAGTTCAAGAATACACATAAATTTCATTATATTTTATTCTAAATTTATACAAAAAAATTAATATCGGAGTTATATTTTTTGCTATAATCAGACTTGTAATTAGGGTATAACTAAATATAGTAATAACAAAACATACGTATATTTAATGCAAATGTTACTAAGGAATAGACTACTATCTACTCTTATGGCTTGCACCATTGACTCATAAAAGCTCTGACGCGAACTTTTGTAATTCCTATATAGCATCTTATTCGAATGAAATACACCTAAATGTACTAATTAATAATGGTAGGTATAAAAATAAATAATCATTTAGTTTTATTTGCAAGTTTACTTACCTGATTAGTAAAGTAGAGGGTTTGTAATAGAGAATTCATATAGCACGTAGCTCCTTGATTTTTAAGTCCAACGAAACCAGTGTGTTTTTTACTATCCCAACTAACTCCATGCGGAGCATCAGCAACTACATGAACCTGTATGAGAATATATGAAAGATATAAAAATTTTTGTCATAAAAATTAGAATTAGTTGCTTAAAAATAATTTAGTAAAAAGATTTATATCTGATTGATATGGGAAATTCGGTCCAAACTTTTTCGAATTCATAATCTTCAAATTACTTATAAGATACAAAATAACATTGACACATTTAACTTTGATGATCACTCCTTTCAAATACCACATACAATAAATTATTATTCAGAAAAGTCTCTGGCGTTCTGCTTTTAAAAATTACTTCAAAGTAGGTTATTAAAAAATATAAAGTAATAATTTAAAAAAATATGCAGATATGTAAAGGACATACGCGAAAACAGAGCGGACGCATTACACACTTGCTGGAGCACCGCCGCATCTGGTGAAACAAGAAATCACAACGAAAGTAGCAACCGGCAATAAACTGTACTGGGTTGTTGCGCTCCTCTAATATCGACCTGAGTGCCACACAGACAATTCCCATTAGCTATGAGGATTATCCGGAGCATACGTACATACATACCCACACGCGACCGACGACGGGGAAACATGACGAGTACTGGTATCAGGGCACAACGTGTACGGGCGAAAGCGGTGGCGGCCATTTCGAGTCGCTTATGTTATTTATGCGAGGGAGAACGAGACAGATTGAATAAGCAAGTGAGATGAAATGAAGCGACAGAGAGTACGCGGCTGACAGAAGTAACGAGATACCTTACAGGTGCACATACGAGGGTCGTTTGAAAAGTCCGTGCAAAAATAAAAACTGCTTGAGTTTTTTTAATAAATCTTTATTATTTTTCAACATAGTCTCCTTTTAGGCTTATACACTTCATCCGACGCTGCTCTAGTTTGTTAATCCTTTCTAAATAATAGGATTTGTACAAGTCTGTGAAATAGGCATCCGTTTCTGCAATCACCTCCTCGTTTGAATAAAATCTTTTCCCCGTCAGCCATTTTTTCATATTAGGGAACAAACAGTAGTCCGACGTAGCCAAGTCTAGAGAATAGGGGGGATGTGAAACGATTTGGAACCCTATCTCCATCAGTTTTGCGGCCACAACTGCTGAGGCGTAAGCTGGCACATTGTCGTGGTGGAAGAGGACTTTTTTGTGGACCAATAATGGACGTTTCTCTAGCAACTCGATATTCAAACGATCCAATAACGATGAATAATATTCGCCTGTAATGGTTTTACCCTTTTCCAGATAGTCGATGAAGATTATTCCTTGCGAATCCCAAAAGACAGTCGCCATAACCTTCCCGACCGAAGGAATTGTCTTTGCCTTTTTCGGAGCAGATTCCCTCTTGGTAACCCATTGTTTAGACTGATCTTTGGTCTCAGGAGTGTAGTGATGTATCCATGTTTCATTTACAGTGATGAAACGACGCTTAAAGTCTTGCGGATTTTGCTGGAACAGCTGCAAACCATTCATGCAACACTTCACACGATCTCGTTTTTGGTCAATCGTGAGCAATCGCGGCACCCATCTAGCGAATAGCTTTTTCATGTCCAAATGTTGGTGTAAAATATTATGTACCCGTTCGCTCGAGATGCCTATAGTACTAGCAATCTCACGCACCTCCACTCTTCTGTCAGCCATCATCATATTATGGATTTTATCAATGATTTCTGAAGTGGTAAGCTCAACAGGGCGTCCAGAACGTTCAGCGTCTTTTGTGCCCATATGGCCACTCCGAAAATTTTGAAACCACTTATAAACCATTCTAATCGAAGGTGCACAATCACCATAATGTTTATCAAGCTTCTGTTTAATCTCCTGATGCGTTTTGCCTTTGAAAAAGTAATATTTAATCAATACACGAAATTCTTTTTCGTCCATTTTTTTACAACCACTCCATTTCTTTAATTGAAACGAATGTAAAACGCAAAGTAATTGGCCGATCTGGCTGAAACTTGGTGTGTGCTCTTCCAAGATATGCCACTGACTGAAAATAACCTTGATGCGCACTATTAGCGCCATCTCTCTGACTTTACACGGACTTTTCAAACGACCCTCGTACAGTGGTTCTTAATTAGCCCGATTCTGCAATGGAAAAGGTCTTATTGAATTAAAGTACCAGAATACGAGGTCCGTCCGGAAAGTATAGGGCCTACGTTTATATCTTCGCACCATAGTGTTCGAGCGACCTCTACCGGACAGAAACGACAACAGTAAAGCCTCACGAATCTATTGCTTACTTACAGACACCTGCCGGACGTATAGTTCATGCGCAGCGTGTCTTTGTTTACAGAGCCTTTTTCTCGTTCGTCGGATTTTGATATTGTCAAAAATGACTGAAAAACAAGATCAACGAATTTGTATCAAATTTTGCTTTCAACTCGAAAAAACGAGTTCGGAAACTATTCAAATGATGCAAAAGGTCTTCGGAAGCGAGTGTATGAGCGAAACACGAATAAAATAGTGGTATAGGAGGTGGTATAAAAGGATGGTCGCACTTCTGTCGATAGTGATTCTCGTTCCGGCCGACCTTCGACGACAAAAACCGCAGATAATATTGAGCGGGTGCGACTTGCAATCGAACAAGATCGTCGTATGACTGTGCGAGAACTAGAAGAAGACCTTGGGATAGCAAAAACTATCATTTCAGAAATTTCAACTGAAAATTTAGGAATGAAACGCGTGTGTGTCAAATTCATCCCAAAATTGCTCACAGCAGAGCAGAAGAACATTCGCTTAGAAATCGCTTTGGACAATCTTGAAATGGTCAATAACGATGATAATGTACTTAGCAAAGTTATTACAGGTGATGAATCATGGGTTTATGGTTATGATCCTGAAACAAAACAACAATCTTCACAGTGGAAGCATTCTGAATCGCCAAGACCACAAAAAGTACGTCAATGTCGGAGCAATGTTAAGTCAATGCTGATTGTTTTATTTCGATTGTGAAGGTGTTGTACATCACGAATATGCACCAACAGGTCAGACAATCAATAAAAAATACTACGTTCAAATTTTGAAACGTTTGCGTGATACAGTAAGAAGAATACGGCCGCAGTTTTGGGAAAGTAGTGACTGGCTTCTCCATCACGATAATGCGCCAGCGCATTCATCCAATCTTGTGCAGCAGTTTTTGAGCAAACACAATATCGCATTGCTTCGACAACCTCCATACAGTCCGGACATAGCCACCCTTTGTGACTTTTGTCTGTTTCCAAAACTAAAAAAAACAATTTAAAGGACACCGATTGGATGACAAAACAACGGTTGAAAACAATGCGACGAGTGTACTTAAGGCTACCCCTAAAAGTGAGTTCCAGGACTGTTTTGAAAAGTGGAAACATCGATGCAACCGTGTTATTCGATCAAGTGGGGATTACTTTGATGCCACACACCAGATGATAAAGAATAACGCTAGCACGAAAATATAAAGGTAGGCCCGATACTTTCCGGACAGACCTCGTAAATGCTGCTGCTGTAATGTTGCTGCTGTGCTGCTTCCTCGCTACACTCGCACATATCAAAAATCCCAAGAAAACTCTTTTAAGAAAACGGCAAAACATAGTGAAAACTAATTGGCGGTACTACACTAACAAGGGAACCACCCCAACCCGACCTCACCAATTTGAATGATTTTGGGATATGTTGTAGTACTTGAAAAAAAATTAGATACGTGATTTTTTTAATGGCTCATAAGGGCTTTTAAGAGGTGACATCCACCCTGAAAATCAACCACCTAAAATCAGTTTTTTAAATATTTCTTAGCATCAAATGAATATTTTTCAGTAAACTCAACGTTAAAAAATTTCTTATAAAAAGGTGCTTTTAAGGACATAACATTTATACCGAAGGGTTGAAACCCCCTTTTTAATAGGGGTAAATACACTATTTTTTGTACTGTTTTACGACATGCAATATAGTAAATCAGCTCGAGTGATTTAAAAATTCCACTGATAATGAGAAAATACCAAAATAAATTGACGTGTATCCGGATTTAGAAAAAAATATATTTAAGGAGTGTTTCACCCCTTAGAAACCATCCCCGTTAAACTATCAGCAGGTTAATCCACCTAACCCTGGGATAAACAAGTTTAGTCGTTTGTTATTTCTTGAAAATATTTAATCCTATGCATGAGCGAGCTACCTCAACTAACCAACCTGCCTCTAGCCCACCAAATCCCCATAAACCACCCTTACCGAACTACATGCAGGCTAAACCACCTAATCCTGTGAAAAGCAACTTTGTTATTTGTTATTTCTTGAAATAATTGAATTTTACACCATAAACGAGTTAACCCAGCTGTATAACATACCTCTTATCCACCTACCCCTAACCTATCCAACCCCTACCCTTATACGAGGTGTGTTCAAAAAGTAAGGTGACTTTGTATTTTTAAGAAAAAATATTTATTTATTTAACAATATTTATGTTGTCCCCTTCAAAGTAATCTCCCTCAGATACAATACACTTATGCCAACGGTTTTTCCAATCCTCAGAGCACTTCTCATAAGCACTTTTCGGTATAGCCTTGAGCTCTTCCAGCGATACAGTCTTTATCTCTTCAATCGTTGCGGATCTCCGTCCTTTCATAGGTCTCTTTAGTTTTGGGAACAAGAAAAAGTCACATGGGGCCAAATCTGGTGAATATGGTGGCTGAGGCATGATTGTGGTGTTGTTTTTGGCCAAAAAATCTCTCACAAGCAAAGATGAGAGAGCAGGGGCATTATCGTGATGCCAAAGCCATGAATTGTTTTTCCACAATTCTGGGCGTTTTCTTCGTATTGCTTCTCGCAAACGGCGCATAACTTCAAGATAATACTGTTTATTGACCGTACGTCCATATGGTAAGAACTCCTGATGCACCACGCCATGGTAATCGAAGAAAACAGTGAGCAAAATTTTGACATTTGATCGAACTTGGCGTGCTTTTTTCGGTATTGGCTCATTTGGGCTCTTCCATTGGGACGATTAGACTTTGGTTTCGATATCATAACCATATACCCATGATTCGTCACCAGTTATGACCCTTTTGA